TGTTTTGTTTTTCTATTCTTAGCATTTACTTATCTCTTCCAACAAATACTAGAAGATGATTTTTATCTATTTTTTAATAATACCATTGTAAGAAATATTTAACCTTGAGGTAGAAGCATTTAGGTGTCCTTTGATGTATGATATCTGGAAGCTTTTTTTTTTTTTTTTAGAAACTATCATTATTTACTTTTGGGGACATTTCCAAAGGCAAAATTCAGCTTCAAATGCAGGAGATTTAAATGGAATTCAACTTCATACAATCAGTTTTACTCACTTCATGCATTTAAGAAAAAAAAAAAAGAAAAAGAACTTCCACATAAGCTAGGAACTGCCAGACTAATAACTGTTGAGCACTTAAATTTGTCTTTTTCTCAGTTAAGATGTTTAACAATAAGAATAATGTATTCATTGATTTCAAATACTTGCAATGATATAATGTAAAATATTTCACCAATAATTTGTCATGTCCATTACACATTAAAATCATATTTTAGGTATGAAGGTGTCATTAAAATTATCTTCATGTGAGCAATATAAAGGTATCCATGTGATTCCCGCTGTGTTTTTACTAATGGCACATGCTGCAAGGGCACCATGACAAGAGACAGCCAATGATCCTTTGGAAGGCTAGGCTAGGTAGGCATACCTACACAACAGTCACTAGCCTGCCCTCACTTCTACTTGCCAAACTAAAATGCCTGAGTCATGGGCACAACATAAGCTATAAATAAAGAAAAATCTAAAGAGTCTTTCAGTCTACTGCAAAAGAGCTTGCTTTTAAATAACCTACTTGGGAACTAGGTATTAGACACAGTAGGCATGGCCCTTAAGCAATCTTGAATTGGGATTACTGTGGAGGTAAAATAAACTAAGGTTCATTTTGGAGAAAAATCAAGCTTCCAAATCTTGTGATCTGGGATGGTCTGGTCCACCTCAACACGCAACTGCTGCTGTCCACCCTTCTTTGGTTTGTAAGAAACCATAAGATGCCAGTGTGATTCAGAGCTACAGTAAAAGGGTTTCTCTCCCATCATCCAGGAATGTCTTTCCTCAACAGAGAGATTCTGAAGTCCTTAAGACAATAATATAGAAAATACATTGCCTGTCTCGGTCAAGCATTTCCCAGTCCAGAGAACCTAAACAGGTTACCACTACTTACCCCTCTCCATGTGGCAGGCTTGAGTTAATAATATTTTTTATACCACATAAAACATGAAAGCAGCAAAGAAAGCAAAAGTAATCAAAACTGATTTGATGAACCAGACAATTATATTTATTTGGGGCATTAAAAAGTAAATTAAAGCATCTTTCAAAATAAGCTGCAATCTCTTGGATTATTCTATAAAAGTATCCAAGTCCCAGCCTAACCTTTTCAAATGAAGCCACAGGCATCACGGACAGGTGGAAAACAGTTTCAGAGAGAGGAGACAAGTCTCTGCACGGCGCAATCACAGTTTTACCCACTTTGGACAGTAAAAGCAAAAAACAAAAAACACTCTGATCACTTAAGCTATGCTATTCATACGTTTAGAAAGCGGAATCCCCCTGCAATGTAGATTTATTGGGTGTACAGAAAATCAGGGAAGCCGAAGTAAGGACATATCATTTCCTGCTGCGAAGGGCATCATGAGAAAACTCACTCAGCAGCTGTCACCGCTGAAACTGAAATGAGATTCTCCTAAGGCTAAATACCCAGGAAATGGTATCTAACTTGTGTCAGTCCAGGTGATTTTCCTGGCAGTGACTCCAAATGAGAACACAATCAATAAAACTCTGTCAAAATTGAATATAAATTATTTTCCACTGGCATGAATTTTACTCAATTTCATTTTTAAAAAGGTTCCACAGAAAACTATCATCAGACAATATGCAATATAATCTGCATTTGTAGATAGCAGGAGTAGCAGTAATAAAACTGGAACGCAGACTGCAGGTAAGTGCTACCCCGGTACAGCTGCTCTCTGTCCCCACGTGGCCCACACCACCAGTAAGTTTCTTATATTCTCTCTGCTCTTTGTGCATATTCTGGAGGTGTGTAATGAATGACGCTCTAAGACAGACTGTTTAGTTCAGGATACCCAAGACCTTATAAGAGGGTGCCTGCGGAGGCAATAATGAAAACTAAGGGATGGGAAGAATGAAGTACTGAGTGTATTGTCAGGAGAATGGCCACATCAATGACCCCATTGCCTCAGACCCATAGGAGTGATCAAGCCTTCCACATATGGCCAGGGGACGAGCAAAGTCGTCCCCTGCTTGGAGTACAGATGTTGGCCAAAGACTGACCCTTAGTTAAAACCAGTGTGCAAAAACCATCAGCTGCAGCTTCCTCCTCCTGGATGACTCAGCCTAGAACTGCTCCCTACAGAGACCCTACTGAGATCAGCCAACCCCCGCCTCTCCTGTGTGCTGTGCAGAATAAAACGCATAGTGTTTCCACTACCACTGCTGGTCCCCACCCAATCCTAGCTCTTCTGTACCTGTGTCTGTCATTTGTTCATTCCCCATCACCCCAGTTAGGTCAATCCCTAAACCAGACTGGTCTCAGCAACAGTTAACACATAATATTAACACATAAAAAAAATCTTTCCATTCCCTTACAAATAGCTCCCAGAGTACAGAATGTTTCTGAAACTGTTACCCTGTCCATGGCATTCTAGGACTATCCCATCACATATGTTCACATATATTAAGGATACAATGTTTGGGGAAGCTGTGTAGCTTTGTTTGTTCAATATTAGCAGGGATGGGGTGTCAGCAAAAGGTGTGGCGACAGCTAATGAGACTGTTACTAAAATTCACAGTTCAAAGAATCACATAACACACTTTCCTTTAAACAGCCATGAAGTATGATCGTGTCTAAGGGTTCTGTTTCAGGTATCACACTCCTAACAGTGTTGTTACTTAAATACAAGTCCCCGAGATTCAGAAGTCCCAGAGCACACATCTTCTATGGTCACATGGGACTAGAAAGCCCTGTGTCCATGGAACAGTCTTAAGTCACAGAAACGACGACAGAACTCTGCTAAGGTAAAGTGCTGAACATTCCCTTGGAAATGATGAGAAGCTCTGTGACTTTGGGTCCCAATTATCATCTCAGGGGTAGGGCAGGCACTTAGCTAGCATGAGTGAGGCTCCGGGGTAGACACTCAGAACAGCATCAACAGACTACCATCTCATTAAGACTCAATATTTAGCAACTTTTTAAAAAAGAAGAATGAATAAATGGCAAAAGTTAATTTTTAAAAAAAAAAAAAGCTTAAATTTTTTCTATCATTCATTCATTCGCTCATCCACTAGATTCGCATGGTCACTGGGGTCTGATGGCAGCCACTGTTTGAAGTAATGAAGTAATGAAGTAATGAGGAAACGAGATGAGCAAATTCTTTACTCTCATAGAGACTGCATTCTAGACAAATACCACATAAACAACTAAAAATGACTGTTCTCACAAACGTCAACTGATTAACACATAACTCATCTGCAGCTGCTCACGAGTGTGTCACAGCAGGCACTGCAGTGCGTTCCCAGGCCTTTTCAGAAAGCCATCCTCTCCACCCTCACCACTGTGCACTTTGTGAGAGCTTTGGACTGACCCGGCAGAAGAGAACTGATTTTATTACTTCTAGAGGCCAATTGATGTTAGAAAAAAACTAGAACAAGAGATTTAGGAATGTTTCTTCTCTACCGTACCTTTCCCCTGGTCACACTGAAACTAAAGATTCAAGAGAAGGAGAGCAGCTAAGCGAAAGATAAAGCTGCCCTCCATTGAACAATATGTAGACATGAAAATCAATTTCTACTTTGTGAATTTTCCACTATGTGAAAGACCTGTTTTAAAGTATGGCTTTATAATAACATACAAATACTCATATGGTTACAACAAAGCCAGCAATGGCTGTGCTGGGGAGCAAGAATTTATCTCTGTCTTTTCTTTTTCAAATGTGACATAACTACATATTTTACTGAGCACACTAGTTAGCATTAATTTATTTTAATATTAATTCTTAAAATTCTCTCTGTGTGTGCACATGAGTACAGGTGCCCACAGAAGCCAGGAGAAGGTGTCAGATGCCCTGAAGCTGGAGCTATATACAAGAAGATGTGAACCACCTGACGTGAGTCCTGGATGCAAAATGCTGGTCTTCTTGCAGAGCAGTGCATGCGGCTAACTGTGAGCCATCTCTCCAATCCTAAGTGATCCACATGCACACACGACCTTGCCTGGGTTCTTCTACTTTCCCTTCTCTCTAGATTAGGCATATGTGCACATGTATGTGCTCATAAATTTTGCTTCTTTTCCCCCTAGAAAATATATTGTATATGTAAGAGCTAGCCAATTATGTAAGAGCTAGCCAATAAGAAGCTGGAACTAGCTGGGCCAGGCAGTGTTTGAAAGGAAAAAAAAAGAAAAGAAAAGAAAATATATTGTAGCTACAGGGCCATATCTTGTAACTCTTTTGTACATAATGGGTAACTTCTAACAAAAGGGGTCAACTTTTAGCAAATATTCTTTTTTTTTCTTTTAAACACTGCTTGGCCCATTAGCTATAGCCTCTTACTGGCTAACTCTCACATCTTGGTTAACCCATTTCTAATCATCTGTGTAACACCACAAGGTGGTGGCTTACTTGGAAGGCTCTTAACCTGCATCCATCTTAGAGAGGAGAGCTATAGCGTCTGCCTCACTGCCTTCTTCCTCCCAGCATTCTGTTCTGTCTTTCCCACCTACCTATGTTCTGACTTATCAGGCCAAGCAGTTTTCTTTATTAATTAACCAATGAAACAACAGATAGATAGAAGACCAACCTATATCACTGGACAAATTTTCAGTATTCACTAGAACTCCCTCCTGGTACTTTCCTGTTTCCTGTGTTTTTTTTTTATTTTTTATTTTTTATTTTTTTATTTTTACTCCCATCTTCGTATTCTTTACTAACATTTCTAATCCCCATGCTCCTACCATGGTCAGTGGTATTTTTGTCAAAGTTACTCTCTGACACATTGCACAAGTTGTGACACTACTGGGCATGGTCAAATATAGCTGTAGGGCTTGCTACAAATCCACTTCTTATGCGTGTAGTTCCTGGCACTGCTGATCCCTCTGTCACTCAGGTAGGCATGTTTTTCTTTTCCTCGGATGGGAACCAAGTTGTTATATTCAGTATTGTCTGTCCACTTCCAAGGATGATGTGATGACTCTCTGTGCAGGCCGATCCAGGCGGCAGAATCCCCCTTGTATCTATGCAGGAAATTCAGTTCCTCCAGACTGTCAAATTGAGTTAGCTGGGCCCCCAGCTCCATGCAGGAGGTCTGGCTGGATTTCCAGTTACTTGTGTGTTCAGAAAAATAAAAACATTTACTTCCAAATGCAATCCAGTCTCCTGGGCAGGTGACATAGCCAGCTTCAGGGTTCGCAATGGCCTTTTCTTCCTTTCTCACTGACAATGAGGAAATCACAGAAAGTGCAATCCCAGCTGCAGTGAGGACGATGATCACTGCATAGCAGCAGTAACGCCCAGCAGGAGACATGGGGGAGACAATTCCGAGACTTTGTCCTTGGAGCTCTTTATGATTTCCTCCCATGCGATCTGTGGGGTTGAACTTTGCAATCAACATCCTTATGAAGGTTTAGCACCTAGGAATCTCCTTGCTAAAGCTTGGGTGTGAGTAAGTCTTGTGGGCTTAGCAAATATTCTTATGAATACATGATCATTGATATAAATATGAAAAATGTAACTCTAAGATTATAAATTAAAGGCATATATTATAATTTATTAATTTATTACACAGACCCCAAATAACTTTAAATATAATAATCTTATTAACTTATTACACAGACCTTTGCAATAATCAGTGAACTAAAAGCTTGTGTTGATGCATGAATAAAAGGAAATAAATAGTTCAAGGCACTGCCAAAGACTGGAACAGGTGACGAGGCGGAGCTAGCAAACAGCCGACACTTGTGTGATTCGCATCAGCAAGGTTTCCATCGCACACTCTGGCTGGTGTAAGTCCGAATCTACTAAACCATTTCTGAGCATTTACTCTCATTTTTCCCACAATTGACACGTGAATACCAACACAATGTTCGGACTTGAAAATGAGAGCTTTTTCACCTGCTCGCTATGCCTACTAGAAAAAGCTTTCTTAAGAGGCTGCCTGTCTGACAGAAGATTAGTGACGGTGCACTCTTCAGAGTAAACAGAAACATGTCCATATTAAGCAATGCACTGCACTAGGAACAGGAATCAAGCAAGCAGTTAATAATAATATAATATGATAATAATAATATGACAATAATACAGTGTAAGAAAGATGATTTCATTACTTTAAATGATGTTAACAGATCAGTATAACCATTTGATGCATTCTGGATGCATTAAAAGTTAAGCCTAGAGCTGGAGAAATTGCTCAGCAGTTAAGAGCATTGGCTGCTCTTCCAGAGATCCTGAGTTCAATTCCCAGTAACCACTTGGTAGCTCACAGCCCTCAGCAATGGGTCTGATGCCCTCTTCGCATCCATGCAGGTGGACATGCAGACAGAGCACCATATGCATAAAATAAAAACACCACAGAGCGGTGGTGGCACACACATTTAATCCCAGCACTCAGGAGGCAGAGGCAGGTGAATCTCTGTTGAATTCAAGGCCAGCCTAGTCTACAAGAGCTAGTTCCAGGATGGGCTCCAAAGCCACAGAGAAACCCTATCTTAGAAAACAACAAAAAGTTACTCCTAGTTGGGGGGGGGGTGCACACACGCCTTTAATCCCATCATCTAGGAGGCAGAGGCAGTCTGATCTCAGTGAGTCTGAGGCCAGGCTGGTCTACAGAGAGAGTTCCAGGACAGCCAGGACTGTTACAAAGAGAAACCCTGTTTCAAAAATAAATAAATAAATAAATAAAGCCAATCCTTTGCATGTAACATACATATACATACATACATACATACATACATACATACATACACACACACATATATATATATATGAATTGGCCTAGATTATTAGGTTGGCAAAGTGTTACATGAATTCTGAGTGACTAAATGCTGTAAAATAATTTAGCAATTCCCCTGTACTGCTCCTTCAACTTTTACAGGTAATTGAATTATCTCCCAAGTGAAATTTATTGACAAATCTAATTCAAATGCTATTCATATTTCATCTTTGATCATTAGAGACATCAAAGTTAGAACAAATAATGACTTCAATAACACCTTCTAAAGTCTATCTCCTCTAGGTCACACTTAAATTATAAAGTTCATGCAAATCAATGATAATTTATTTTTTCCTAACAAGATTACCATTAGAATGTCTCAGATCAAGTGATCATCCTTCTCATGCTTTTTTTTTAAACTGAGTCTAATGCATCCTAGATCTGCCTGCAGCATACTATAGTGGAGAGTGACCTTGAGGTTCTGCTCACCCTGACTCTATCTCCCAAGGGGGCATGTGCTACCATGCACGCCCTGTTGATGTCCTGCTGAAGAGACCATCCTCCAGGGTTTCATGCTCACCAGCAACTGAGCTATCTAAACCCTCAGCCCAATTCTTTGCCACTTTGACCTTTAAAAAGAAAGATAAGAGAAAATCATGGTGCTTGAAGCAAAAAACAATCCAATGAACTTGAAAGGCACACATTTTGTAGGATTACTTTGTAGAACAGGAAGTGCCAAGCTATGCACACCAGCTGCCACCCTACCTACAGATGTCTCTGACACAGTAATAAAATGAGAAGCCATTTGGTTTAATAACAATAAAAAAGCAACATCCAGTCCTGGTTGCCTAGCAACCAGTCATGAATGAACTCCACAGAGAATAAAAGCCTTAAACGAATATACAGTCTGTGCAAGTTTCAAGGACTCAAAAAAACGTCAGTAGTTAATCTAAATTCTAGGTGACAATTACCATATTGAGGTGGAAAGATGAAGAATCTATCATGATTGCATGGAATCAAGTATTCACTAGCATCAAGAGTCAACCTCTTTGACTTATATTTTGAACCAGCAAAATTATCAGGGGAAATTAAGTTATACAAAATAAAAATTTCATTCAGAAGAAAAAAGAAAGCATAAATGGCATAACTTGAACATCACTCCGCAAAGCACAGAGTACTTCCTAAGTGTCAGATATTATCCTGGTTACTGGGCAATGGGCAGACAAGAACAGCATCAAATTCTGCAATGAAGGTAGCCTAGGAGAAAGGAACTACCTATGGGAAGGTGATGTGGGATATTCCCCTCTGTATACTGTGAATATGTTTTATTATCATTGGTTAATAAAGAAGCTACTTTAGCAAGGCAGAACAGAGCTAGTCAGGAAAACTAAACTGAATGCAGGGAAAAAGAAGGTGGGGTCAGGTAGACACCGGAAACTTACTAGTAGACCACAGCCTCGTGGTGATACATAGATTAATAGAAATGGGTTAATTTAAGATACTAAGATCTAGCTAAAATTACAACTGAGCCATTGGCCAAACAGTGCTGTAATTAATATAGTTTCTGTGTGATTATTCTGGTCTGGGCAACTAGGAAATGAAAGCAAAGTCTCCGTTTACAGGAAGGCATCTGGGCCAGACTAAGAAGAGAACTACATGACCAGCGAACATGACACATGACCTGCCCATTCACCAGGTTACAGTTCTTACCGGCAGGACATCCAAGTCAGTACCAAGCTCGGGATCAAACAGAAGGAAACAGGGCGGAGGCTGGGGGAGGGAGACAGGCACGTAGACAGGAGAACTAAAGCCAAGAACACAGTCACCTCTGGCAGAGATGTGAACTCTATCAGAGAGGGAAGCATGAGTAAGGGCAGAGCACAAGCTAGTGAAGTAAGAGATACTTTGAAGATAAAATCAAAAGATTTAGAAGGGTCAGAAAAAGGAGACTGAACAGTATACTCAAACTTGAGGTCTAGGTTTCTTGACCCATGAATATAACTCTAGGATATGAAACAAATGTATACAAGATGTATGTTTCTCAGCTCTGGAAACACTAGTTTTAATCACACTCCCATCCCTACCTGCCAAAAGCAATTTCGTGAAAAAAACGAAAGCTACTGAACCAGAGTAAGAAAAAGAAAGGTAAGAGGAAGCAAATAATAAAAATCAAAACAAAAACAAAACCAAAAAAAAAAACCAAAATGTAAAATTTCTGAGTGACAAAGGAGAAGGGAAAGCTTAAGCGAGCGATGGCTCAGTGGGTGAGAACAGTCGTTAATTTTGCACAGGACCACGGTTCAGCTCCCACACTGACACAGAAATTCACAAGCTTGGGTAACTCCAGTTCCAGGGGATTTGACACCCTCTCTGACTCTGCATGCACTGCAGGAACATGGTACAAATACGTATAGAAATGCAAAATACTCATAAATTTGCATATAAATGAAACTACAATAAATAAATCTTTTAAAAACTTAAAAATTAGAAACCCTAAAGAGAAACAATACTTTCGTTGACTACACAATATAAATATAAGTAGACCAAATAAAAATTTAGAGAGAACTGCTTGTATCAAATATAACAGTTACAAGCTCTTATACTTTAAGTACCCGAGATCAAATAAAGTCAGGAGATGCTATCAATAATTTAGCAAAAAATACAGATTGTTAATCTCAGCATAAAACAGAAATGGATAATAAAATATCTAAAAGCCATTCTCCATGAGAACTGAGATTTATGTGACCACAATGCCATCATTATGACTAAGTTATCCTGCAACAGTTCATGGCTGTTTGCCTCTTTCAAGGCTGAAGTGGCCTGGGTAGTCATGTACAGTATATGAACGTAAGCAGAACAACATTTTGAAAAGAAATACAAACATCTGAAATCTTTAAAGTGGTCCATACATTTTGTCAATGTAATTCTGCTTCTGAAAGACTATTCTAATGAAATAGCCTAAAATACAGATAAGGGCAAGGGTTTGCACACGGTGAAGTAACTAAGCTGACGCAATCTTTTGTGTCTGCCTGGACATTTCTCAGCACTCTGCCCCTCAACAGCCACATCCACCTTGGCAATTTTTTTGGGAATATTCGTGACCCTGGCCATATTTTAGACATATTAACCAAAAAAACTGATGCTTGTACAAGCTTAAATATAAAAATAAAATAACTAAGATGAAACATAAATCAAAAATAATTGTCATGAGGTGCCTGAAAAATACTGCTGAGCTTTGCAAGAATAAAGATGCTACTAGGCCACTCCAAATCCCTCACTGATATGACCCCGCCTTGAGCGCTGATGTGTTATGGGTTTTGTCTTTTAAAACACTGCACCCTGAGCTTGGGCACAAAGAGACATTTTGGAGACATGACGCCACTGTAGTGATGATTCATTTGTATTTTAATAAACAAAGCTTGCCTGAAGATCAGAACGCAAAACAGCCACACTAATCAGTCATACAGGCCAGGCAATGGTATCACACACACCTTTAATCCCAGCAGCCACACTAGCCAAAGAGGCCAGGCCGTGGTGATGCACATCTTTAACTCCATCACTAGAGAGGAATATAAGGTGGGATGAGACAGGAACTCCCTCTCTTTCAGTCTGAAGATTTCATAGAGGTAAGAGCTCTCTAGTAGCTTGGCTGCATTGCTTTGCTGATCTTCAGGTTGAACCCC